CGGGGGTGGGGCCGGGGGGGAGGAGGCGCACCTGCCCGCCCTCCCAGGGTCTGCAGAGCCGAGGTGCTGCCCGGGAAGGGAAGGGGTGCCGGGTGTGCTAGCAGAGCCTCCACGGCCCCGGGAAGCTGTGCATGTATGCAGAGAGCACTGTGTACCGCGGTGTACATGTAATGTACACAGAGCACTGCGTGCAGCCATGTGCGTGTAATGCAAGACAGAGTACTGCGTACTGCCAGGTGCATGTAATGCACAGAGCACTGCGTACCTCGATGTGCATGTAATGCACACAGAACACCGAATACAGCTATGTGCATTTAATGCAGAGACAGCACTACGTACCTCGATGTGCATTTAATGCAAGACAGAGCACTGCGTAGCGCGATGTGCATGTAATGCACACAGAACACTAAATACAGCTATGTGCATTAAATGTAGAGGGAGCACTACGTACCGCCATGTGGACAGCATCATACACTGTTGACGGCCTGGGGTGCAGGAGCAAACCGCAAACCCCGAGCTTTAGAAAAAGGTGCACGTTTGAACGTGGATTCTTGCTCAGGGAAAGAGGACAGTGAGGTGCGCTCGACTTTGCTGTTTGCTGTCTAGTCATGCAAAATGTGTTAGAAAACTTTGTATTTAGTGTAGGCAACATAGTTTCTTGGCAACATCAGTTAGTTAAATGCTAAAATACTTTCCATTCTTCATAGTTTTGTGATCTTAATTAAAAGAAAATTTTCCACCACATCATCACTTCATTTCATCTCTACCTTCTTTTATCAGCTTCTGAAGTATAGTAGTTTAAACCATACAGAATTCCAGTTGTAAGTCAAAATTGGGAGAAGACTTGGAATTTTGAATGGTGCAGCCCCATAAGGAATTTCCTTCGGGGATACAGGATTGCCAGGAAGTCTTCAGCCTGTACTCTGAGAGTAAAGCCAGACATTACGGGTTATTGTGCAAAAGGAACCCAAAACTTTATTTGTAGTAATAGCTGTTTTATACCAACATTTCCCAGAACTTCAGAGCTCTTGTAAAGCATTTCTTTTCCATCTTATTTTGTTATGTATTTTTGATGTCCCAACTGGATTTTCCAAGAATGACTTATCTTCTGATCCTCCTGCCAAGGGTTGAGATTTACTGGCCTTCACCACCAAATCTGATTTGTGTGGTGCTGGGATTAAACCCAGGTCTTAGGTCCTTGTACATGCTAGGTAAGCACTCTACCAGCTGAGCTATGTCCCAGTCCCGTCTGTCTTGTTAACACAATCTTGATTTTAGTGTGTTGACACTGTTGAGTTTCCTGAAGGGACCATGTTAGTGTTGGCGTAGCCATCCAAGTCCAAGTGTATTTATTACCTGTGTGTTTTGGTCATATTTAAGAATAGTGCAGGAGAGAAGGGAAACAGGATACAAACTTTAGTTGCATGGGAGGAAAGTAAATGCTTATTACTAGATCCACATGTATGATACACACATTAAGGGTGAAGGTGGACAGACATACACTGTTGAGCGCGTGGGGTGCAGGAGCAAATGGCAAGCCCCAAGCTTTAGAGAAAAGTGCAAATTTGAACATGGATTCTTGCACAAATAATACATATCATAAGATGTAGTGGTTATTGATTTCTGAGCTTTGAACATCAAAATAACAAAAAAAAAATGGTTTTTTTTCGGTTTGGAACTTGGAGAGAAGTAACAAAACAGGACTAAATTTCAGTCTCACAGGAACACCGAGCCAGGAAAAGAATTTTATACTTGACTAACTGAAATTTTATTTGCTATGTAGTTTTTTTCGCACCAACTCTCCTGTTGTCTAACAGTCAGATACCTTTGCCCCAACCTTGGAGTTGTTTAGGACCCCTCACAGCACAGCATGCTAGGTTTGGAGCCAGGTTTGGAGCTGATCCCACCCTGCTGAGCAGTTCTGAATAACTCACCTACCTTTCCCAGTTTAGGTTCTGCAGCTGTGGAGTGGCTGAAAGACCACCCCTGGAAGGTTGCTGGGACTTGAGGGCCTAGAGTCCATGGCATAGCACTGCTGGGAAGACAAGCCCAAGACATGATTACCATTGTCATGTGCCTTTGCCCCATTCTTCTGAGCAGTTGGAACAGTCACCTAACCTTCTCTTTCAAAGTTTAAGCTCCTGTAAAGAGGACGAATAGGAGTGAAGTTTGAGCAGTAAACCTGCCTCATTGCAGGAAGGTCTGTGCATTCAGAAATTGGAATTTGTCTCTAGCTCAGTACCCTAGAATGGCTAGTGTTAATTACAATTTTTTGTTTTTTTCTGTACGGAAGCATTTTTTTCCTTAAAACCATACTTTATGTTATGCAGTACAATAGAACTTCATATTAAACAACCCTATAATAGAACTGTTCAGCACAACTTCAAACACACAAAAAAAGGGAAAAATTTCAGATTACAAAACAAATTTAATAACTGAAAAAGTCACTTTTTCCAAGTGAAACATGCACTGTTCAGTTGTGTTCAGTTGCTACTGCCCCGACGCCCCGATGGTCAATGGAATGGAAAAGGAAGCCCAGCTTTCACAGTCACCACCGGAAGGGGACAGCACTCAGGACTCACGTAATGCAGAAATGGTTCCTGCCGCTCCAGTACGCAGGAAGTTGAATTCACACGGCCATCGTGGAAAACAGAAGGACAGGAACTATGCCTCTTTTCAAATTACCTTGCGTTGGTTTCAATCCTATTGCAGTATGCCCACACATGTATTTGTGCATGTGTACGTTATAGGCTGGGGTCCACATATGAGGGGAAATGTGCAGGGGTTTGTTTTTACTGTTTTAGTTATTGCTTTTACATAAGCAATTCTTAAAAATGCACATTTTTTTTTAGACAACAAAGATCAGGGCCAGTGAGATGGCTCCAGGACTAAAAGCACTTGTTGCATAAATTTAATAAGTTAATTTGGTTCCCAAGACCCACAATGGAAAGGGAGAACCAACTCCCCAAAGTTTTCCTCTGACTTCTACACACTTGCCACAATGCACATGCCCACATATACACATCATACCCACAAACACATGCACACATAATAAAATTTTAAAAAATAATTTATTTTTATTGTATGTGTATGCATGTATTGCCTGCATGTAGATAGGTGCACCTGTGTTGTGCAGTGCCCGCGGAAGTCAGAAGAGAGCTTTGGATTCTCCTGGAACTGGAGTTACAGATGGTAGTCAGCTGCCATGTGAGTGCTGGGAACCAAACTCAGGTCCTCTGTAAGAGCAGCCAGTGCTTTTAAGCACTCTCTAAGCCCTCTCTCTAGTCCCCATAATAAAATATTTTTAAAAAGAAAACTGAGCTTCTCCTACTCCAGCTTCTCTTCTCCCTGGCTTTCTTCCCCTTGGCCTCTTGGCCATGATGACATAGATGTGTTCATTGGTTAAGTGAGTGATGGTCTAGTCACCCCCCCCCCACTTCAGCTTTAAAATGTCATTTCTTAGCATCAGCAACAGGCCACTCTCTGCCTTCCCTTTGTGTGTTCTAGCTCTTAAAACCTTGGAGATTTCTCTTCCATAATGTAGATTTCTACTTTTTAATTTTGCAGTGTTGTCAATCAAACCCAGGATCTTGTGCCTACTAGGAAAGTGCTGTCTCACTGAGCTACCCCCCCCCCGCCAATACAGAGTAGAAATGAGTAAGGGGGGGCAGTTCTGTGTGTCTACATATGTTTGTGGGTATGCTTGTCTGTGCATACACGTGTGGAGGCCAGAAGTCGACCTGAGGTATCCTCCTCTACTGTGCCCCACATTGTTGTTTTTGAAACACAGTGTCTGGACCTGGAGCGTTCAGCTTTCTCCTAGACTGTGTGGCCGCTGAGGCTCAGGATCTGCCTGCTTCTGCCTCCCCAGCACTGGGGATACAGAGGCGCACCACTGTGCCCAGCCTTCCACTAGTGCCAGGGATATGAACTCAGGTCCTCATGCTTGCATAGCAAGCACTTTACCCACTGAGCCATCCTCCCCCAGCCACTCCGTCCCCATTTTCTACATTTAAATGGTCTGACTATTACATTCTTGGCTTTGCTTTGCCCACTTCTTATCTGCCAACTTGACTTTGTGGATCAGGACCATGGCGTAGGTCTCTGTTTGACCTGATTATAAGCAAGTCCTTATTCAAAAAAGGAATAGGGGATGACTGTAACCCACCCTTCCCAGAGATGTGCAGACTTGCTCTCAAACACTCCGGAGGGATGCACACATTTTCTCATCGGTTCTTATCATCCTTGATTCTACCCGGCCCTGTCCTTCAGGCTGAGGCACCAGGGTTGATGATTTTAGCTCTCTGCACCTCTTTGAGATCAGTCAACATCAGGATGTTCAGTGAGTACCCTCCTTACATAATTGTTATTCTCACTGTGAATGGCACCAGACATGAATTCCTCTCTAGCAGCAGAGTGTACACTTATTAACTAAAGACACGTCCTTTCACACTATGAACCCTTCCTTGGCTAGAGCTAGTTAATACTGCTTGATTGGAGGTTTCCTTCTGTCTGTAAAGAGTGGATGTGCGCTAGAAAACAAACAAAAAAGCATTTGTGTGGAGAAAAAGCTAGCTACAACAGATGTTAACTGAACACATGCAGACACACACTGGTTGGTTCACCTGTGATGTCAGCCCTCCTTGATCTTTAGGTCTGAGACTTACCTCAAGAAAGGAGGCAGAGTCCTGATCCGTGTGTGTTCACTGGAGTGGGCACATGGCAAATACTCATTTTGCTGGCCACAGGCTTTGTTGATGTTTCTCAGCTCTGCCATTGTAGCTTGAAAGTAGCCATCACCAGTGTGAGCGAGTGTGGCTGTCCTAGAATACAACTTTATTTACAAAACAGGTGCCATGCCAGTCAATTTGCACCTGCCATAAAAGACAAAATTCTGGTAATAATCTCTGTCAAATAGGCCTTATTTCCTTAATGAGTATTAACTTAATCTCACTAAAGCCTTTAAGTTTCCTTTCTCCACTGTTTCCCAGGCCTCTGTCATTTTCTGAAGTCTTTCAGCTAGTGATGGGAGATGACCACTCATCTGTAGGATGGAGTCCCGGGAGCCCAGGCTGGCTCTGCAGTGCGACTGTGGCCCCCTGCTGGTTCCATCATGCCACTGCAACTTTAAGATTCTGAGTCTTCTCCATTTGGGCCATCAAGTCACTAGTGGCACTTAAAGAAATGCCCTTCCTCCTGAGATCCTCATTGGTTTGAGTAAAGTACTTTTCTAAGGCCCTTCCTATGTGCCTCAGATGGTCCTCAGGCATAGCCAGCTTCAGAAGCTCTGTGCCCTTTGCGTTGACTGTCTCATAGCTGCATTTAAAAAGCCAAGTTGAATTCAGTGGCAGCCAGATGGTGTTTATTTGAGTTGTGGGGTAAAGCGGTTCACCCCGGCTTCGAGTTGCTCCCTGCCTTCGCTTGCTAGTGGTAGCCAGCCTGCCAGAGTTTATGGCTGGGTCACGTAGAAAATTCTTACAATTGAATGCTAATGACATTAAAGGAACGTTTTACCTTGAGGCTGACCAGTTGTAGAAAGATGCAATCCAGTAGTGTGTGAAGGAGGAGGACCAGCAAGGGCTGCATTTCTGTGGTACGCCAGCTCACACTGGAGCACCATCAGAGGTTAGCATGTGGCGATTACAAAAGGTGATTAACCAGCTCTGTGTTCTCATTTGATTAATACAGCGGATTAGATTTGGAGAGTCCCATCAAACGATCCAGCAGTTTCTGGGGGTGGGGGTGCTGCATAGATGCTCAACTTCCTGCTTGGGGGGGGCTGCATACGCACTCAGCTTTCTAGCTTTCAGCATTTCTTTAGGAAAAGACTGTCATTTTAATACTTGGACTTTTGTTATTAAATTGCATTTACATTTTTAAATTGGTGTTTTGGTACAATTAGAAAGTAATGGTTTTTACTAGAGAAGCCAGGAATGTCACTTGACTTTTAGAAATAGTCTGGATGCGTTAAATGCTTGTATATAAAGAGGGCCTTTATGGCTTATTTTAAGTTATGGTGAATAAAGTGAAAACTGTGCATTTTATGTGTAGAATTTTAATGCTGGGAATAAGACTTGTATACAGAACACAGCCATCACGTTGTCATTAAATATCACAAAAGACTAAGAACTACAACCAAACTGCTGAGAAGTTTCCTTTAAAAAAAAAGTTTATATGTGAGTTTTGTGTGTGTGTGTGTGTGTGTGTGTGTGTGTGTGTGTGCGCGTGCATGTGCACATATGTATGTACATATGCATGTGGGTGCCCATGGAGGCTAGAAGAGGTGTCAGATCCTTTGGAGCTGGCATTGTAATCACTTGTGAGCCCCCTAATGTGGGTGCCGGTAACCAAACTCAGGCCCTCTGCAAAAGCAGCAGGTGCTCTTAACCACTGAGCCATTCTACCAGCCCCCTGAGAAGTTTCTTGGTGACTCTAAAATTAATATGCCCAGAACTGAGTCTGGTCCCAGCGGGGGCACCTGGCACTTTCCAGCCCTTTGTTTCTGAGGTTTGGTTTCCATTGTTTATATGATGACCAGCCTGGAGCCTCCATGCTGCTAAACCTTGGTCCCTTTATTCAGCCGTCTGCCCTTTCAGAAGGTTTCTCTTTGGTAAATTCAGTCCCCTCGACTGTATGGGACCCTCCATGTCTAACAGATGTGTGTGGTGTCTTGCTCACACTTGTTCATGTGTATTTCTTAAGGCTGCCATAACAGATGGCCAGCACTGGGTGGTTTTAAGAAAAAGGGGGAAGTTCATTCATTCTTCCACAGTTCTGGGGGGCCAGAAGTCTGAGATCAGGGGATCAGCAGCACCATCTTCCTCCAAAGCCCACAAGAAGTTCCTCCCTGCCTTTTCCAGATTCTGGCTCTGGCCATCAGCCCCTCCCTTCATTCCTTGGTTGTCTTCACCCCAACCTCTGTCTTCACGTGGCCTTGCCACGTGTGTCTGTGTCTTCATGTGTCTTCACGTGACCATCCCATGTGTCTCTGTGTTGTCGTGTGGCCTCCTTATTAGGACATGACTTTTGGATTTAGGGCCCATTAATCCATATTTTGGTAAATTCAGTCCCCTCGACTGTATGGGACCCTCCATGTCTAACAGATGTGTGTGGTGTCTTGCTCACACTTGTTCATGTGTATTTCTTAAGGCTGCCATAACAGATGGCCAGCACTGGGTGGTTTTAAGAAAAAGGGGGAAGTTCATTCATTCTTCCACAGTTCTGGGGGGCCAGAAGTCTGAGATCAGGGGATCAGCAGCACCATCTTCCTCCAAAGCCCACAAGAAGTTCCTCCCTGCCTTTTCCAGATTCTGGCTCTGGCCATCAGCCCCTCCCTTCATTCCTTGGTTGTCTTCACCCCAACCTCTGTCTTCACGTGGCCTTGCCACGTGTGTCTGTGTCTTCATGTGTCTTCACGTGACCATCCCATGTGTCTCTGTGTTGTCGTGTGGCCTCCTTATTAGGACATGACTTTTGGATTTAGGGCCCATTCTAATCCATTGTGACCTCATTTTAATTAAAAACATCTGCAAAGCCCTATATCCAAATAAGGCCACATTCTGAGGCTCTGGGCCCAGGGGTTTTGAGGACCCTTTTAAATGAGAAGAGTTTATGGGGACACCATGTTTTTCTCATCTTTGTTTTGTTCTGTTTAGCCAGTAGACTGGGGAGACTTCCTAATAATGAAAGAAATAGAGATTTCTGCAAATGGCTTTTTAAAATAGCTGTATTTTTATAGAATGACACCTTAAAAACTGTTTCATTTTTAGTATGATATAAAATGAAAGCTGTCCTAGTACATTTTCCATTGACAAAAGAAATGTCATTTTAGATTACTGCTACCTTTTAAAAAAATGATTTTCTCTTTATTTTAGGACTATAGCATTCAAGAAAAAATAGATTTAGAAATCCGGATGCAAGAAGGGTTGTGGAAGCTCCTTTCTCTGAGCACTAAAAAGGACCAGGTTTTGCATGCAGTTAAGAATCTCATGGTGTGCAATGCTCGGATCATGGCGTATACAGCAGAGCTACGGAGTTTAGAGGAACGGACTTCAAGTCAGACTGGAAGACGGTCAGTGGGTAGTTTACATATGGCTTTTGTGCACTTAAATATTTAATCTGGAGACACAGTATAATTTAAGTGTAAGTAGAAATGTCAGATCGAACCTTCGTAAAAGCAAACACTGCAGAACCATGTCCAAGCAAAGGCCAGGGTGATCTCAGTGTGAAATGGCAGCCACCGAGTAGTTTTGTGTAACGTGGGACTGTAATTTCAAAGTGGGTTAGAAACAAGGACTGAGTGAGAGAGAATTTCAAAACAAAGGGCCAGGATTGAGAGTTGCGTGCATAGAAATGTTATTTCAGAAAATGGGCCACAGAGATGGTGAAGCATTGCTGCTCTTGCAGAGGACCCAAATGCAGTACCCAGTACCCACATCAGGGGCTCACAACCACCTGTAACTCCAGCTCCAGCTGCTGACTTCCACAGGCATGTACACACATAACATACATTCACACAAACACACACAATAAATCTTAAAAGAATTGCTTACAGATATGCTATTTATACTTGCTAAAAATAATAGAAATGGGAAAATTGAACTGAGTGATCAGCAGCTTGTAAAGACAGAAAATGTTATGAATGGAAGGAAACCTATAAATGCATAAGCACGTCCCTTCATGTGGTGAACAGCTTTTAGAGAGCTGCATTCGGACCAGTGAGTAACTGGAGCTGTGGAAGTCAGGGCTTTCTCCCCCATGTCTAGCCCTTGGCTCTGTCTCTGTCTCTTTGCCCTTGTGGGTTAGATATAGGGCTTGTGTGTGAGACCGTGCCCACCCACGTACAGTGACACTAATAAGGCTGTGATGTAATAGAAACCTGGGTACAAAGTGGCCAGATTTGTTAGTCATATCACCACAGGAAAGCTACTGGACTCTGTGCCTCAGTTCTGATGTTACAGTGGGCCTGGTAATGTATACATCTTGAAAATTGGGATTTTATTTATATATATATATATATATATATATATATATATATAAAACATATGTAGAAAACATATGTATGTAACATAATGTAATATATATAACCTAATGTAATTACCACTAAAGTACACAACTAGTCTCTTCTTTATTCTGTGTCAAAGACATTGTTGTTTAAATTTTGATTTATTTTTATTTTATGTGTAAGAGTGTATTGCCTGCATGTACATAAGTACACCCATGTCATGCAATGCCCGCAGAGGTCAGAAGAGGGCATCAGATCCTCTGAAACCAGTGTTACGGACAGTTTGTAGCCGCCATTGTGGATGCTGGGAATCAAACCCAGGTCCTCTGCAAGAGCAGCTAGTGCTCTTAACTGCTGAACCATCTCTCCAGCCCCCAAAATATCTCTTTCTATACATGTACATATTTGCATTTCTTCATCATTCATTTGAAAGCATTGCAATTCTTTACTGAATTATTTCTGGGATTTTAACTGAATCTTGATGGTTCCGTGTGATTCACTCGTTTACAATTCCATGTGCAGACACAACCTAAGGCTGCTGATCAAAGAGAATGGAAATTAAGGTACTTGCTCTCTTATTAGATAAAAATAATTAAATACTAATGAGAGTCTTAAGGTGGTTTTCTGGTTCCTTGTAGAAAATCATGTAGTTGGTACCATGTGATTAGTCGGTGGTGTGTTTGTCAAGCGTCTGCTTGCAGAATGCTCAGTCAGCACTGTGCTAGGATGTCCACGTTCTACCAGCTCACGTGTCAGCACAGGGGAACATAAGTAGCGCAGCAAACATGTTGCCTTTGGAGAATCAGCAGCCTATTACTCCGTTTATTTAGTCTTCGAGGTAGAGAAATGTCTGGTTTTTTAAAAATATCCCTGCCAGTTAAAATAGCATTCTAATGGGAAGGACACTGGTCTAACCCTTCTAACATTTTATGATAAAATGTCGGAAATTACTATAGACTGTTAAGCTGGACCTTTTCAGAGAAGCATCGTACGGTGTGCAGTGGTATAACTGAGGAATGTCTAATGCAGAGCTTGGCCTGCGTCTGTGGAGCGTGGGGTGAACATGGTCCTCGGGGTGAGTAGGAAGAAGGAGGTCTTCCAAGGAGAAAGCCAGGCAGGCGTGGGGAAAGCTGCGCACGGGTGGATTCCAAGCGGTGCAGAGCAGCGTTTGAGGCCAAAGCTCACGCTGCCGATGAGAAGAAGCATGGTCTTATTAACGGGAGTCCTAGGCGGCTAGCAAGTGCATGGCGTTGACCACCTTTACCAAAAACAGGGAAACCAGAGCTTGAACATAGTTGCCCTGTTCCCACACGTGGGGCCTGTAGCTAGGACAGGAGCCTGGATGACTAGAAGGCTCTGTTCCTCCCCCTTCTTCCTCCAAAAGCCACCTGTGTTTCTTTCTTCCGCTCAAGGCTGTCAGGAAAAGCGATTACAAGGCTTATCATTTGTCTGTTTCTTGATTGTCTCTTATCATTTTATTTTAAGCAAGAAAAACCATGATAAAATTTGTGCTTGAGGAGGTTGAAAAGAGTGTATTAAGAACCTGAAAGGGGGCAGCAAACGATTGAGGTAACCAGACGTTAGGACAGAGACCTAAGAACAGGCAGAACGCAGAAGTGATCTAATAGGAAATAGCTTTTTCTTTTTTAAAAGACAGTTCTTGCTGTGTAGGCTGACCTTGAGCTTGTGGCATCTGCCTCTGCCTCCTGAGTGTCAGGGTCCCTGATGGGTGTGCACCACCATCCCTGGCATGAAATGACTTTTTTAAGATTTATTTTATTTGTGTGTGTGTGTGTGTGTGTGTGTGTGTGTGTGTGTGTGTACACGTGTGAGTGCGTGTGCCCCAGGAGTACAGAGGCATCAGATCTCCCTGGAGCTGAAGTATAGGTGATTGAGACCTACCAGTATGGGTGCTGGGAACCAAACTCGGGTCCTTTACAAGAGCAGCAAGCATTCTTCACCACTGAGTCAGCTCTCCAGCTGCTGAAATGACTTTGATTAGAGAAATGAGGAAATCAACTAGTCTCTCTGGGTTTGCTGATTACTGCACCTCCCTCTGTTCTGTCACAGCTACTAGGCCAGTCAGTTTCAGTTGTTCCTCAGTTGGATTAGTTGATTAAAGCAATCCAGTAATTTTACTTCATTTATTTATTTATCCTGGAAAGCAGGTCCAGAAGGGACAGAGAAAAGTTTTTTTTGTTTTGTTTTGTTTTGTTTTGTTTTTGTTTTTTGTCTTTTTGAGACAGGGCCTCTGTGTAGCACCAACTGGCCTAGAACTCGCTGTATAGACCAGGCTGGCCTTGAACTCACAGATACCTGCCTGCCTCTGCCTCCCAGTGCTGGGATTAAAGACGTGAGCCACAACACCTGGGTTATTTCTATTTTTTGACACAGGGTCACACTATATAGCCCTGGCTAGCCTGAACTCGCTACATAGACCAGGCTGGCCTTGAACTCACAGATACCTGCCTGCCTCTGCCTCCCAGGGGCTGGGATTAGAGGCATGCGCCACCACATCCGGCATTAAAGCCTCTTTAAAGTAGGGCTCCAGGCAGACTTGAGCCTTCTCTGTTGCATCAACTGAACTTCGGGATACTGGTAAGGGGCTGGGATTAGAGGCATGCGCCACCACATCCGGCATTAAAGCCTCTTTGAAGTAGGGCTCCAGGCAGACTTGAGCCTTCTCTGTTGCATCAGCTACGGGATACTGGTGAAGCACTGGTCTTGTATCCTCCTTGGAAGAACTGAAAACAGGCGGCCGCTGTAATCTAGCCAGGGAATTCCCACTTACCCTGTCTCCCTAGAAGGTACCGTGAAAATCAGGACTTAGAATGAGTTTAATAATCAACTGTGCGAGTTCCTCCCTGCCTCTTGCTTCCAAGGTCTGTGGTTCTCAGGTTCTCACTGTCTGGTGTGGCTTATGATGTTCCAGTTTGCCTGCTTTTGTCTTTTTTAACCACTTTTTTTATTTATGAAAGCTTTCGTACATAAACATCTGGTTAGCTGTTAGTCCCTCGCCACATGAGCTCATCACATACCCTCTCTGTGCACAAGCCCACGTATTCTCTTGAACCGTTGGAAAATGGTTTGCAGACAGGACACATGAGCCATGATAGTTTGGCATGTGCCTTCTAAGAGCATTCTTCTGCATAGTCAAAATATGATTATGTGTAAAACATTAGTAATTTCTTAATTTTCTGTGTTCAGTCAGTGTTCAACCTTATCCAGTTGTTAAAATCTCTTGTAGTATTTTTTTTCCTTAAACCAGAATTCAGTTAAGATTCATGCAGTACATTTGGTGACATCGCTTTGGTTTCTTTTAATTACCCTTTTCTAAGTCTCCCTCGCTTTAATTAGTGCCTTGAAGACTAGATGTTAAAACATTTGAAATGTCCTGCATTCTGCATTTGTCTTGTTTCCTTAAGGCATGATTGTGCTGTTCTCCACATCCTCTGATTGGCTGCAGCTCAGAGTTGACCATGGGGTCCTGTGGGATTGAACTTGTGGTCTTGTGTGTGCTAGGCTCCCCAGTAGCTGGGCACAGGCCTGTGCTAGCAGGCTGACTCAGATGGCCATTTTAAATGGTACTGACTTTGAGCATTCCTCTGCATCCTCTCCTGTGGGAGATGGTTTATAAGTAACGCCTGAGTGTTAGAACCCGGTAGGTAAGCAAGACGTCAGCCAACAACACTTAAATGGCTTCATCTTCCGTTTATGATCCTTGCTTAAGTCAACTTTTATTGAGAAATTTGCAAACTGATTATTCTGTCTGGCATCAGTTCTTTCAGTGCTGATTGTTTGGTATTCCTCCCTAGAAGACAGTCACTTTTTTATGACATTCATTCATTCATTTATGTGTATGGAGGTGTGTGTCCCAGTACACGTGTGAAAGTCAGAGAACACCCTGTGGGAGTTGGTTCTCTCCTTCTACCGCATGGGTCCCCGGGATAGTACTCTGGTCATCAGGCTTGGTGGCAAGTGTCTACTTGCTGGGCCATCTTACTGGCTCTATAAAGAACATTCTTTCTTCTTCTTTTTTAACAACTCACTGAGTCCACTTTGTGATG